AGAGAGCCTCCAGAAGCAAACTCGCCCCACTCCCTTCGTGACGCGTGCATATTCTGCACACTCGCCCCTGGGCGTTCACATCGTTCCAGACGGCCCAAGAGGCTCTCAAGTTCACCCCAGGACGGGCAACAGGGCTCCAAAACGACCCAAGAGGGCCCCAAGATGGCCCAAGAAACCCCCAAGACGGCCCAGGAGGGCCCCAAAACAACCCCAAGAGGCCCACAAATGGAACCCGAAACGACATTTCGAGCCATCCACCCCAAGACGCCTCCGGGTTGCCCCAAGGAGCCCCCGACAGGCCCCCAAGGAGCCCCAAGATGGCCGCAAAAAACCTCCAAGAGGCCCCCAGAAGGCTCGAAGAGGTTCAAAACTGCCTCCAAGACGCCCTCGAGACGGATCCTACGAGACCCCCATCAGCCATCCGAGAGGCCTCAGACCCGCGACCCAGGTGCGGTGGCGGGATGTGCCGAAAGTTTTGTTTTGGTTAGTCAGGGGACGGAGGGCTCCTGGGTGCTCACAGGACTGCGTAAACTATACAACATAGCGCGGCAGCTGCGGGGATCGGGCGCGGAAACACGAATTTGACGAAACACCACTTGTAAGAGCAACGCCAAGATCCGGCCAGCGCCCTGTCGATCCGCCGCCCCCTGTCGATCCGCCACCCCCTGTCGATTCATCGCAGGTGTGCCTGGCGTGCTAGATCCTTTCGGTTTGGGTTTGGCTTCTTTTTCCAAAAGAGACCCCCCCCTGGGGCTCCAGCGCGTCCCGCGGGCCTATTCTGCGCATTTTAATGGTTTCTTGGAGCTCTTTTGGGGCGTCATGGGGGCCTTTTGGGGTGCCTTTTCGGGGCCCTCTTGGGCTGACATTCTCAGTATTCGCCGTGCACGCATGGGGAATGGGGCGAGAACCCGCGTACACAGACAGAGGGCATCTGTCAAAACACCCGACGAATGATTATCGAAGACGCCTACGGCGAATCACCGCCGCCCCCCGCCTTCTAGAATCGCCCATGTGGCCGAGTGTTGTGGCAAAAGCTCTGCCAATGTATCGGGCCATGTGTTCCCCCAACCGTTGTGGAAACCCTTCGGGGAACACTTGGGGGAGGATGGAGGGGAAGATCAAGATGAGGCGGAGGAGGAGGAGGAGGAGGAGGAGGAGGAGGAGGAGGAGGAGGAGGAGGAGGAGGAGGAGGGGGCATCTTGGGAGCCTCTGGGGGCACTCTTAGGGCCTCCTGGGAGCTTACTGGGAGCCTCGTGGACCTTTGGGGGCTTCTCGGGGGCCTCTGTGGCTGTATTGGTGGGCTCCTGGCCCGTCTGACGCCGTCGGAAGCCGTCTTGGGGGCCTCTCTGGGCCGCGTGGCGCTTTTCTCCCGTGGGCGACAGTGCCCGGTGGTCAGAACGTCTCCTGCTAGGGCTGGCGGCGGGACTTGGGGCCCTCTTGGGGTGCTCCAGGGCCGTCTTGGAGGCCATCTTCAGCGTCTTGGAGGCCTCTTGGGCCGTCTTGGGGGCCTCTTGGGGCCGTCTTGGGGGCCTCTTGGGCCGTTCTGGGACCATACTGGAGACCTCTTGGGTGATCTTTGGGGGCTCTTGGAGCGTCTCAGGCCGTCGGAAGGCCGAACAACAAGCAAATGCCACAATCCTTCAAAAACCAATGGGAAATCAATGATTGTGGCCTTTTCGGGCCTTCCTGGATGCCCTCTCGGATGCCTTTTGCGCCGTGTTGAGCCATCATAGGGCCATCTTCGGCCATCTTGGTGGGCTCCTGGCCCGTCTGACGCCGTCGGAAGCCGTTTGGGGGACCTCTCTGGCCCGACTTGGGGCCCTCTTGGAATGCTCCAGGGCCGTCTTGGAGGCCATCTTGGGCGCCTGAAAAGCCTCCTGGGCCGTCTTGGGGGCTTCTTGGGGCCGTCTTGGGGGCCTCTTGTGCCGTTCTGGGGCCATCTTGGAGGCCTCTTGGGCGATCTTGGGGCGATCTTTGGGGGCTCTTGGGCCGTCTCGGGCCGTCGGAAGGCCGAAAAGAAGCAAATGCCAAAATCCTTCAAACACCTTCGGAACATCAATGATTTGGGCCTTTTCTGGCCTTCCTGGAAACCCTCTTGGAGGCCTCTTGGGCCGTCTTGGGCCATCATAGGGCCGTCTTCGGCCATCTTGGTGGGCTCCTGGCCCGTCTGACGCCGTCGGAAGCTGTTTGGGGGACCTCTCTGGCCCGACTTAAGGCCCTCTTGGGGTGCTCCGTGGCCGTCTTAGAAGCCATCTTGGACGTCTTGGAGGCCTCTTGGACCGTCTTGGGGCCCTCTTGGGGCCGTCTTGGGGGCCTCTTGGGCAGTCCTGTGGCCATATTGGAGGCCTCTTGGGCGCTCTGGGGGCGATCTTGGGGGCCTCTTGGGCCGTCTTGGGTCGTCGGAAAGCCAGAAAGGAGCAAATGCCAAAATCCTTCAAAAACCTTTAGAAAACCACTGATTTTGACCTCTTCGGGCCCTCCTGGAGGACCTCTTGGAGGC